CCGGCTCCGCTGCCAGCGCGGGGACATCGGCAGCTCCTGGCCCCCAGGCAGCAGGGCTGCCAAGCCTGGACTTTCATCTTAATGCGCTTGAAAAAATGTCCTCCCAGGTAAAAAGCAAATGCATATGCAGTCCTCAGCTGCCACTCTGGGCAGCTCCCTCATTACATGTACGTAAATGTTAGAAGACGGGGCCAGAGTGACACTAAAAGGAGGCACTGCAGCCTACAATGGCAAATCTGCTGGTGTGACCCCCCTCCTGCCAGCGGGAAGATGATGCCTCACACATCGCAATGCACATTTCTGCAAGCCCCTGCAGAGATTTCGCTTTCCAGCGATCCTCCTCCTGCACAGTGTCATTTCAGAAGTGTGCAGGGGTTTGTGTGTGCACGTGTGTGTGCGCAGAGGAAAGGGTATAATGAGCTGTAGGGGCTTCAGCAAGGGGACTGCAGCAGTAGAACAGCTGAAATGAAAGGCCTAAATGAAGTTGAAAAATGATTTTAAAAGGTCATCTGTCCCCCTACTTTTGTTCTCACTTTAAATGGATGGCTCAGATACTGGCGCTGACTCAGAATTCAAGTCTGTATGACAAGCCCATCCTGTTCTCTCATGAGATGTAAATCACACTGCAAAACTACAGCAAAGATGAAGCCACATTCTCCGTTGCCCCAGGGTATATCCAGATTAATTCCTTTAACAGTGGAGCCATTGGGGTAAAAGACAACAAAATATTTGGTGCATTATGCAGAATACTTTGCAGCAGGCAAGATTTCCTTCTCATTTGCACTAAGGGTTACCCCACTGTGACTCTGCTGATGACAGTGCTGCTGCTGCTCTGATGAGGTAGAGCCTGCCCTCCTAGTGCCGAGATGCCCAGCAGGACACATCCCGGGTGCCAGACACGCAGCGAGCATGAGGTTTCTCTCTTGCCTTCCCCAGACCTAGCTAGGGGCCAGGGAACTGTTTGACTGTGGAAAACAGCTTCGTTTCTATCAGGACACTCATCTTAACCAGGCACAGTTGGTGCCGCCTAAACAAGGAGATTAAATAACAGAGATGCACGTGATAAGAGAAGTAAAACAACAAAGCAAAGCACTGGAGAGAGATTTCAGTCCCAAGCCTCTTCTAGGAGAATCAAAAGAGTTAAAATAAAACCAGCAGGGCTACAACTGAAAATTCATGCAAAAGCTCCTATGGCCTGGTGTGTCCTTGCATGTCACAGCAGCTGGCATAGCTTGCTAGATAAATACACTTCAGAGGACTGATTAACTTGTTGTCTTGCAGCCCCTTCTCCTGCTGTTCATCGTGGCTAGAAATAGAGCTTTCCAGCTGATTATATCATTCACGTCTGGATCAGGGCAAAGGGTCTGAATGTTTAAAATGCTGCAGATGAAGCCAGTATGATGCTGGCTTCCCAGCGGACCAGTTTTCAGGTGCAGCCACACCAGCAATGGTTTGTTTACTGAAAGCTCTGACTGTAGGAAGAGGCACCATGTTTCCAGGGCTACAGAGCACCTCGTCCTGCAGGCTGCTCACTGAAATCAGCTAAGAAAGGCACAGAGATAAAACAGCAATGTGCCCAAACCAGGTGCAGCATCCAACCGAACTGTACCTCTGGAGTAGGAGATCAGAGGCGAGAAAGCAAGGATAGGCACGGTTATCCTTAAGGAAGGATAGGTACAGTTATCCCTGCCAGAGGGTAACCCTGGCTCTCGTCATCTGTTCAAGGCGATGGGAGCAGAGTGGGAAGACTGGGTGCAGCTCTCCCTAACACGTAGATAAGGATCCTCAAGACCCATGTCCACGACCCTAATTTCCTCCCTTTGGGCAGAAGAGCAGATATTCCCTGTGACAATACGCGAGCACCCCATGCCACGCTGTCCCGCATGGTCCCCACGGCCAGGGAGGCAGATCCGACACTAGGCTGCTGAGGACCAGCCATCCCAGCATCTGTGGTGCCCCCCCTTCACAGCAGCACTGGCGCTCAGGAGCAGAACAATGTCTCTGTTGGGTTTGATTTCAGCAGGGCTGGTTCCTCCAGCACGTGGCTGCATGAGCACGGGGTGCTGGCGTACACACAGGGGTAGGAGCGAGCTCGGACAGGACAGGGATGCCCTGCCAGCTCGGAGGGACCAGACGGCCATGGTCCCTCCAGCCCCTGGCTCGGACTGCTCCCCGTTTGCAGCACCGCAGACAATGCCACCTCACCTTCACCCCACTCTCCGCTTGCTCCCGTGTCCCGGGCTATCCTCCAGTCTCATGCCATGGAGATCCACCAGACCTCATGGTTGGCACACCGGGTCCCACAGCGACTCCAGCACCGCGGGAGGCATCACTGACCGACAGCCACAGCCTTGGGTTTGGCTTTACAAGGGATCGTTTGGGTCTGGCCCCAAGAGGCTCCGTGTGAGAAGCCCCGTGCCCTCCCACCAGCAGCACAGGCACTGCAGGAGGGTTCTACCCCGACACCGCCAGTTTTACTGCTTATCCCCCCTCCAGGAGCCCTGCACAGGGGAGGGGACAAGGCCAGGTTCTGCCTTGTGGGGCAGGGAATGAGGGGGCAGCCAGACTCGGCAAGGTCTGGTTCTCAAATCCGCCCCGGTATCTCCCCGGACGCGGTCTGGCAGGGACACCCGGGCTGAACCAGGAAAACACACCGCTCCCAGCTCCGCTGAATAACTGCTCTGCCCCTGCCTTTCAAGCAGCCGCTACACTTGAGTCAAAGGACACAAATTATCTCAGACAATTTTTGCGTTTGCCAGCCAAGTTGCAGGCTATGCGGTGCTCTGTCAAGAAAAAAGTCAATCCAATAATGCGGGACCTTCTTCAGAAGTCCTCTCGCAGCCCAAGCTCTTCCTCTAGATTTAATGAGAAGCACACCACATACCAGCCATGACTAAAAACAGTGACGGAGGACCAATCCGTGGCGGTCCCCAGCCGCCCCCACAGCCCCGCCATCACAACGGCAGCCCCGGTGCCCGGGGGCAGGCACAGCATGAGCATCCGTGGCTCACGGACCTCTGCGCCATGAAGCCTCGTGCCCCGGCAGCCCGGCACGCTGCCAGCCATCCAGCACAGCTCCCCATGTCCTGGCACAGGGCAGACACCCCACCACACAGCCTCAGCGCGTGGGTCCCACACGAGGAGCAGCCATCAGTGATGGTTTTCAAGTGCCCAGCCCCCACCCAGACAGCAAGAGAAAACACCAGCTACTTTCTGAAACCTGGTAAGTTGACAAAGCGAAGGGTGCTTCCTCAAACCAGCCGGTATGAGCAGCCCAGACGTTCACTAGGACGCACAACACATCCAGACACACTTCATAAGCCAGAGGACAGACCAGCACTGCCCTGCGCTGCCGGGTGCCGTCACCCCGCTGCCACCCAGCAGGGACGGGAAACGTTTCCCAGGGTTTTACGCTAGACATGACTGTGAGGATCTGTGACATGGTGGCCCCATCTCCTTCCCTGTCCCCTGTACTTGCAGCCACCCACCTCCTCCCCGCCGGAGGGGAGCAGATGCCAGGGCCGGCTCCACGGTTGAGCCCGGGGGGTGAGAGTGGGATGTCTGACATGGGGCCAAACTCCTGCCAGCAACGAGCGTGGGGAACCGCTGGAGGAGCTGAGATGAGAGCAGAGCACCAGTGCCAAAGGGATATTCAATTTACAGTGTAAAAGCTTGGCTTGGATCTACGGCAGATTGATTGCTAAAAAGCCAATTTTATTTAAATTAACTTCAATTTAAATTTCAGAAGCAGGAACACACTGAGCCTCTGGGTTATTAAAGCTATAATTTGGAAAGGGGCGATTTTCTCCTTTAGACAAGCACTACCAGTGGTGCTCCAGCAAATTATTAACATACCGCAACAGTCTAGTCAAAGCTAAATGAATTGTAAAGTATTGCTATGTTTATTTTATTACTCAAACCCAGGTGTCCCAGGATGCGGAGAAGTAGTGGCATTGCTCCAGACGTGAGAGGTGATGAAGAGCCAAGGGACAGAGCCCCCTGAGGGCACTGGGACAGCCAAATGCTTTAGCAGGCTGCCAGCCTCCTCACACACACATGCCTCCAGGCACAGCACGGCACAGCACTGCACGGCTGCAGCTTGCCTGCCCCACATGGGTCCCCCTCCTGGACACCAGCAGAGGAGGGTGCCCCAAATCCAGCCTGGGACAAGCCGTGGCCAGCAAGTGCCAGCCACTGATGGAGGAGACTCAGAGCCTGCCGGGACAAGCAGCTGAGACCACGCTGAGCACCAGTGCCTGAAGATCCTTCAGGGTCGCTAAGTAAAGCAAGGCTCAGCCTGGGGACCTCGAGGTGAGAGGGTCCAAGCCTGGCCTCAGCCAGACACTCACCCACGCTGCTGGGGAGTGCTGCCAACACGATGCATGCAGAGCAGCACTCCAGAGCGGCCCTCCAGTTCTCCATCTGCTGAGCCTTTGGAAGTGAGGCGTGCATCACAGCATTTCTGACTGCAGAGACTCCCCAAGGCCAGGCAGCACATCAGTGACACCGAGCAGCACCATCCTCGTAGCTGCCCCCCACCCGCTGGGGCAGCGCTGCCAAACCCAGGCCATCTGCCTCCATCCCCAGGAGAAGGAAAACAACAGCAACAGCACAGCGACGTGGGAAGGTGTCCCGAAGCAGCAAAGTTTGACGGGCCTTACCTTCATCCGCAGCGCGTCGTCACATTGCGAGTGGTTGGAGACACAGGCGTAGGTGGAGGGGCACCAGTGACACTTCCATCTGGTTGAGAGGCAGCTGGTGCATCTGAAATGGCGAAGGTGTGGTGAGAAAAGCAGATTTCAGGCTGCTCAGGGGAGCCACACCTCAGCCATGCAATCGATCTTCACACATTGTGTTCAGTCTTTAATGGTGCCCAGAAAAACCCGTCTATGGCAGGCGCTGGGCTGTCCTCTCCCTGGGAGCTGGCAGGGGACACAGGCAGAGCCCATCATCTCCATTGCCACTCCAAGGCAGCTCCATGGCATCACCACCTGTGGTGCCACCGCGTGGCCCCAGGCCACGGCAGACCAGGAGCCACTGGCTCCAGCTCCTCCCCTACTTAGTGAAAAATGCTCTTTTCCCCCAAAATGCTCTTTCCCCCCATCCATCTCCCTGTGGAGCCAGGCATGCTCGTGCCCAACGAAGCCTCTCCCCCACGGTTTGCACAGGACTTGGGACCGCTGGCAGGCAGGATGGGGGGATCCCCACGGTCAGGCTCCATTGTTACACTCCTGAAAGGTGGATGACTTTCTGTGGGTGGCACCAGACCCCTCCCTTCCAGCCCACCGTGCTCATGAGGGGTATGAGGCTGCTCCCACCTGGGGCAGAGGGAATGTGCCCCTCCCCACACCCCTCCCTCACCGCCCCACAGACCCCCACGGATCGCTCGGGAGGCTGGGGAGGCTGCCGAAGGGTTAAAAGAACAAGATTTATATAAAAATATTATTCATGTTTAAAAAAAACCCCAACATGTCCAGATGGCTTGAGACACCGCAAGGACCCTCCTTTGTAAATCCCTGGCAGCACAGCCACTACGCCCCTGCCAAATCCTGCCCAGGCCCCCAGCCTCCCTGCCGGCAGGGAGGCTGCGCTCCCCCATTAACCCCACACAGGGAGACCCTCGTCCGGCTGCGTGTGTGCACCCTCCTGGCTTCAAAACGCTCCATCTACCTCCACTGCCCTGGTGCCACGCGGCCAGCGCGGCACCACCCACACCCTGCCACCGCCTGCCCGCGGTGGCCTGGCTGCCTGCACACCGGGGTCACTTACGCTCTCTTTGGATAAATGTTTCCAGTTCTTTTGCAATCGTAGATGGTGAAATTGGCCCGGATAATGTTTTTGCTGTTGACCCGGAGAGCAGTTTCGACGACCACGTGGTCTGAGAGAATCAAGCCAAAGAATATTGGGTTGCAAGAGCCTCTTGCTCGCGCTCACGCTTAGAAGACAAGACAGACCCTTGGGAAAACAAGGGCTAAATCTGATTTGTTTTCTCTAGGGCTTCCTCCAAGCTGCATTTCAGAGCTTGGACCATTCATCTTTTGCCCTCTGACTTTCAGCTCTTCCCTCTTAAATCAACGCTTTACATCACCCTCGCCAGAAAAGAACATTGCGACTTTCAGCAGAAAATTCCAGCGTGTTGTGCAAGTGTTAATTACCAGAGTTAATTATTGTCTGCGCTTACAGTTGGTGTTAAATGATATTTTTAAAAAAATGTGGTAATTAAAACATGTTAGTTATTATGTTTTAAAATCCCGCTCACTTTCCCCATGACAACAAACCCGCAGAGAAGAGTGGAAATCCCTTTTTTGGCTACTTAACATGCTATGCTAACTCCCCCTTCCCCCAGAATTGCTTCCTTTTTTTTTTTTTCTTTGCAATTTTGCCATATAAGCTCCAGGGACAAGAGACAATGCCTCTTTTAGAATATGTACAATAAATCAGCGCATTGGATTCCAGAAATTCATTTGGACATTGCCGTAACCAACAATACAGAACAGTTAATGATCTCCCATTCTTTGGATAGCTAGGGAGAAAAACAATGCAGCTTTATAAACTTGCCTACAAGAAGTGGGATTTTCAAAAGGACTGGCTAATTCTTCTCCTACTGAAGTCAGCCATCTTCAATAGAGCATTCACTCCAGGCTTGGAAGATGAAGATTTAACAAGCACTCAAGTCTGGAATGAAGCATCGAACTTCTCAGAAGCAGCTGTAAAATGGGGCTGTCTCCATCGCGAAGTGGCCAGTATCAGATCTGGTCAGCTCGGCCATCAAGGCTCAGCTGACTTCAAGCAGATCTGCAGGTGCTTGTCACCTCCAGAATGCAGCTCCATGGAGCCGCAAGATGGGCATCCCATTTGGCACCGTCTGAAAACAGGCGGATACTAGAAGACCGCAGTCTGGCTTTTAACTGCATAAATGGGATTAAGAGTTTCTGAGCTGCCTTTAGGTATGCACTTGCTCTTCTTCCAGAACTTCTCCTGAAAGGTAGTGCATGTTCAGGAGGAAAATTAAACAAAAGCAATTGAAAATATCAATATAAGTAGCATTATTATTTCCCCAGGGCTAAAACATTTTTGTTTTAGTACTTACTAAATCTAAAGCAGAAGCTCTAACCAGATAAATCTTAATAAAATAAGTATGTGAACTGGCTTTCAAATTCTGATGTTTAAAACAAAAATTGATAGATTTGAAATACTGTCAATTCATGTTAAGATGGTGGAACTCCCACGCTTTATATGCCCTATAAAACAGAAGCAGCTTGGGTTTTCTTTTCCCTGTATGCATTATCTGCACATACAATTGGAAAAAGAAAAAAAGCCTATGAAAAATTATGTCCACAAAAGTGGTTAGAGTGAACCAAGCTTGTTTTCCTCTACATACCTTGGTCGTCTGGAAACGTTGGGTATTTCTCGCGTGGAAGTAAACTGCAATAAATAAACTGGTTTACATAATCTCCTGCAACTCTGGCTACTGTGTGGATATTATTTCCATAGTCACATGAAATATTTGTTCCATTCAGGTTCGGGATAGTCCCATTTATTTGTATTATCAGGGCCTACATTTGGACAAAAAAAAATCAGTTATTATGACAGAAAATTATATTTAGAATTTGTCAATGTTTTACAAGCTTTTCATAAGCTAGCGACTCCAAAACAAGTCCACAGATAGCCGTTTTGTTTCATTTTATGCATTTTGAACTCTAGAAGCCATCCGCGTACAAAAACTTCCTTCAGCAGTAAGAGCTCTGTCACCACGAACTCCAACAACTGTAGCTGGTGCGTTACCAGCTGGCATGAAAACCCAGCCCAGGGCTTTCCTGGGAGACCACTCGGAGGAAGCAGGATGCAAAGGCTAAGCCCTCCCCAGCTGCCCAGGCTGTCCTTGACCCACGCCGCCTGCATGAGCAGAAAATATTAACCCCTGCTTCTGAGTGCCTGAACCTCGCGGCTTGCACCAGTCCGTACCAGGTCTGGTGAGGAGAGGTGTCTCGTGGGAGCCTGCTGGGGGGGCTGCTGGGGGACAGCCACAAGCCAGCGTCCTTCCCCGGCACACCAGGGCCGAGCGGGCTAGCTGCAGGAGTTTCTTTTTGCCCTCAGTCTCTGAGGGGAAGGGGGGGGAAGTCTTGCAGAAAGGGAATGCTTTTGAAGAGGGCGACTCAGGAAAACATGCAGCCCACGTGCTCGGCTGGCTTCCCCCGCTGTCAGCGGGGTGACTCCCTAGGGACCCCCAGCCCACTGCTCCTGCGCAGCAGAAGTGGAGCTGGACCTGTGCTAGGGTCCCATGGGATCCCTCTCTCCAGCTCCGGTCTGGGCTCTGCCCCAGCCGCTGCCTGTTTACGAGCAATTTCCCCATGTTAGGGCTGGCCAAGAACTTTGGCACAGAGAGATTTTTGCCATTGGGAGAGGGTCTGTCTTTAAACAAAAAATATTTTGATGAAAACATTTAAAATATCATTAAAATATTGTTAAAAATAGCAACAATAGAAAACCAGAAAATGAGCTGATTTAGCTGTCTGCAGCTGGTCTTCTGTATTTTGAAATTTTACAAATCTCTCCAGTGTGTTTAGTTTAGCAGCTTTAGAAGTCCTGTTCACCTACAGGCTCAGCAGCTGACGTCCTGCTGCCTTCTAGGGTGTCGAGGCGCAGCAGGTCACCTCCAGGCGCTTTTGAGAACCTTGGCCTGACTCGGTAGCATACAACAGAGCTCAGCATCCCCACGACCCATATCTGAGCCGCGTGGAGCCGTGCTGCTACACTAGAGGAGCATGGATATTTATCAGCCCTGAGAGCAGGTAACGACTCTATGGGACGCTGCACATAATTTATTTGGTATTCACATCAAACATACCGGGTTCTCTTTGTCGATATTAATCTCGGGCTCCAAGATGGTCATGGAAGGGCACTGCTGCACTCCTTCACTTGTACTCGCCCAGAAGTTGGCCCCTGTGAAGTTCGTGCACTCGTGCTGCAGAGAACACCTGCAACGAACAGGGGAACAATTCATGGTTGATTATTTTTAAAACAGGTGATAAAAATGTTGACTTCCTTGTGAGGGAAGATCCTGAGAAAATCCTGTGCCTACACCTTTTTCCTCCATCCAAAGGAATGGAAAGCCCAAAGCTTTGCTGCTATATTTAAAGTGTCTGGTTGCCACGATAAGAGTGCATATTCCCACCAGCATCAACAGAGCATAGGGTTCAGGGTAAGCGAGAGCAGGCAGGCTGAACCCAGAACCAAAGAGGAGAAGGTGACATTTTGTCTGATTTCAATTTGTAAACACGGAGTCCAATTTTGTAAATCCCTTTTTGAGTGTTGTCTGCTACACATAAATAATAATTGCAAGGGTAAAAGAGGGTCTTTAACGGGGTGTTGGCTCTCTCAATCCCATGGTTGGATGCCTGCAAGATATTCTTTGCACTGGCAGCTGACTGCAGCATAACAATGCAGCTACAGTTAAATCCTGTCTCTGAAGAGCATCCCAACCGTTTGAGGCCAGATGCAACTGTTTTTAAAAGCACGTATTTCGTAAGGAATGGACAAAGGCTAATGGTAGTGTGACTGTGTGGAAATATAAAAGGCATCAGAAATTCTTGGCCTGGCTCGAAGGACAAAGGACATGCCAAAGTGTACTAGGACCAGTCCTACCTGGTCTCCATCGTGCACCACCCGCAGTAAGCGTCAGCGGCAGCCAGGCACTCCGTGCACGTCGAGTACTGGTTACAGGCAGCCACCTTCACCCGCGTCATCTGCACAACAACAGCACAACTGCTTCCAAATCGTTTACAACAGCACAGAAACACTCCACCTGACTGGGATGTGCCGGTATGGCCACGCGTAGCTAGCAACGAGACACCAGCATCTCAGGCTACTTTACCGTTAGCCTGGACCAAGCCTTACAGAACAGACAACAAGGAGCAGACCCTGGCACCGCCACCCTCTGCCCCACACCACTCAGAGGTGGGTGCTCTGTGTACGACCAGCCCGCATGGGGACCAGCCCGCATGGCGCCGGAGGGTGCTAGCTGCCCACTGCCCTGCCGGTGCCCCCAGCAGAGCCCGTCCCAGCCTGGGGGCCGTGTGCCCCAGGGCAGGTCAGGACCCCCAAGGGATGGGGCCTGCTGCTGCCACCAGCACAGTCGCCCCACGGGGTGCGCAGCTGAGCTGAGCTGCTCCTTTTCAGCTGGCACCTTGGCAATAGATGTGTGATGGTCAGGCTACGGAGAGCGACACCACACCTTTCTGATGCATCAGACGGAGATGGTTTCACAGCTTGTCCCTCCCTGTGAAAAGCTCTCACTCAGACCTGCAGAAAGCGCGTTTCTAGACAGAGCTGAATGCTATCTGGCTATTTACAAAATGACCAGAAAGCAAAACCACTCTGGAAACCTTAATTTGTAAAGAAATCAAAGTACCTCTGGGGATTTGCTCGGCAGGAGCAGTTGGAGGGAAAGCATGCGTCAGTTTCTGCTTTTTCCTCCCTCAATTTCTAAACATTTGGGAAGGAAAACTGAGTTGTTTGGTACAGCGGGGACTGACAACGTGAGGTGCTGAGAGTCCTGAGCTCTCACCAGGCAAGTGCACCTCGGACCGTGGGCTCTTTGGCCTGACCCATGCTTTACCCGCAGCGCTTCCCGGCTCCCCAGCCCTGCGGTGCTCAGCACCCCCCCAACCCCATCGAGCTCCCGGGGAGCTTCCCAGGATGCTAATTCCACCAAAGAAAAATTAACTCATCTGGTTTATTGGAAAAGAAACAGACAGAGGAGAGTATCACAAGTGCTGCACTGGGTGTTTGATCAAGCCCGAATAAGGTGCACAGCCCAGCCTGGGAGCTGAGATGAGACAGTCTGAAACATCAGCTAAAGAGGCATCCCAGGAGGGTTCTGTGAAATGATAATGACCAATCTGCAGGGAATTAGGGCTTGGAAAATATAAATGCAACATATAATATTTGTGGTTGTGCATCTGTTTTGACAGATTAAAATGTAATTCAGGACAAACCACCAGCGCCTGGAGTCCTCAGCTCCTCCTCTGCTCACTTGACGGAGATGAGACCGTCTGTTTCTACCTGGTGTGGTGTTCCCGGTCTCCACAGAGAGCCCTCCTCCCATCCAAGCCCTCCTGCCAGCTAGGCTGAGCAGAAACCCCCAAGGATCATTTCTGACAGGCAGACTTTTTGTCTGTAGGATCTCCTAAAAGCCTCCTTAAAGACTGTGTACCGTAATTTTTGGGTTTCTATACAGGAACAACCTCTGCTTATTTATGCACTCCCATAAGTGGGATCAGTTTTGATATCTTTCACTCTTCTTTTTACCTTGCCACTGCAAAGACGAGAAAGCCTGACAAGCCGGTCTGCTCAGTGTGACCCCCACCCTGCGCAGGAGAATGGACAGGCACGGGTATCCCCCCTGGAAAGTCCTTTGACACCCCAGCCAAAGCCCTGAACTTCTTGACTCTGCCCATTAATGTTAAAGCAAATTTTATTGTCCCTTCCTGCTCCCAGCTTAGTGCTGAACGCTAAATCAAATGCATGATGCTCAAAGGACGATTTTGCTGAAGACTAAAGGTCTCACCTGATAGGAGGTCATCAGATAGAGGTACGTGGAATCAGAAGGGTCGAACTGCATGATGGGGTGGACAGGCTCTCCGTAAGCCACCGAAATGGATCTCCTGCTAATAACCTTCATGGTACTGTCCAGATTAATCTGTAGTGAGAAGAAGCCACTCATTGAGACCATTCTTCAAACACTATGGGGAGAAGATTATTTTTCCTTGGTTATAAACAAGAATCGAAGTGGTATCAAATGGTGTTCCACATTTTCAAGCGCTGTAAATCCCTACGCGCTTCGCAAGCTGCACACACAGAGCTTTACTGAAAAGCCAGCTCTGTGCTACAGGGAAGGCACTAAGTGGTCCAGAAAGCTCAGGCCATGGCCAGGAGCAGTGCCCAGTGATGAACAACCCTCACAGCCCTTGGTCCCTCTGTTTAAAGTCTTCTGTTTGAGAGGCTGCCCGCAAAAATTCTAGTCTAAGGCTCTACCCACTGCACGGCTCGACTGCACGGCTGTTTCCAGCCGGCCACAGCAGTGTTACTCTTGCTTAACCCTAATGTAAGTGGCACCAGCCTTCAGCCCTCATTACATACATATGTGCATTTCTGTTACAAAGAACACTGCACTTCCAAAGCTTAATGAAAAACAGTGAAAATCAGCAACAGGGCTGTCCAACATGGCATCCCCTGCTCCCTGCATATTTGAAAAATAAGTGTTGTCATTCCTGGCCAAAAGAAGCTGTTATCCCTGCTAACTCCAAGAGACCATGGCAGCTGCCTCAAGAGAGACAAATCCTACCTTGCTTCATGAATCACCAGCTGAAGCGCTGGCGGTGATGGAAGAGGCTGCAAAGCATCAGCCTGCCTTTCAGATCCCAGAATGTCTTGGCATTTGACTTGAAAACTCAGCAAATTAAATGTGGCATTGCTGAGAGGAAGTAACAATAGGGCTACACAATTTCATGTGACAGTCACTTTTCAGCTTAAAACAGAAAGGGAGCGAGGACTATTCCTACCTCCTTACTAGCAAGGGAAGGCAATAATTGTAAGGACCAAGTGTGCCTCTGCTCTCTAAAGTCTGGATTAATTAATTAACATAGGATTAATTAATTCTTACACTAGAGCAGCACCAATATGTCCTAGTAAGATAGCACAAGCTCAAAGCAGAGGGCTTCCCTCTGCTAAGAGCCGTATGCAAGCACTGCAAGCTACTATGCAGAAAAAGAAGGGAACTATCATCATCCCCATTTTAAAAGCTGGCTATCCAGAAGCTAAATGATTTGCCTGGGATCACCCAAGACGTCCATGAACCGAGTCCCGATGCCTTCCACTTTAGCTTTGCGACCATCCTCTCTCCCTTCTTGCTAAGATTTGCTCTACACTTGGCTGTTTCTAGGCACCTGTCCCTAAGTCCCTCTGCCTCCTGGGCTCATTCACCCTACGCTTCCACTGCACAGGCACTTTCCCTGGATCCCCATGAACTGCAGGCCCCCAGGGGAGAACCACCGCAGTGGTGCAGAGACCATCAGTCCTCTCACCGGAGCAGGGCTGGGGTGTGCTGGGGGACACGTGCTGCACTGGCACTGGCAAGAGCAGAGTGGTCTGAAGTTCTGGGTAACCCCACCACAGCTCCTCGTCTACAGCTTTCCAGAGCTGGGGGACTGGCCAGAACAGACCCTTCCCAGCTCCCGTCTCCTTCGAGGGCATTGCACGCCGGCACACCTTGCCCTGGCCACCGCTTCCCAAGGGCTGTTTTTCCTTTAATAACTGCTGGACACGGCACTGATAATGGCTCTCACGAAATGCCCGTCTGCAGACTATCTGATTAATTCCCCATACATACCCCTGGCAGCCATAATTGCTGCTGGCAGGAGCTGGTCGAGCACTATTTCTGCCTCTTTGCTGTCTTTTCTCAGGCAGCAAATCTGAATGATAACTCACGCAAAGTATCTTGTATCCCGTGCCAAATAACAAGGAGCCCCGAAGGTAAAAGGGCTTCTGGTTATGCAGCTGTGTTGTGGAATTAGATTAGAGCTATCTGAGCAAATTATCCCAGCAAAGGGTAGCCAGGAGCCTCTCCCTAATGGAAGCTCAGCAGATAAGGCTGCTTTCTCCGAGATAATGGAAGCAGAGCTGTTAATACTGTGTGAACAGGGGCTGCGCTGCGTGTGGCATGTGCCTCTCCAGCCCGGTGTACCTGGCCAGGGTGCCAGCCTCCTCCCACCCTCATGAATTACCTGCCCCTGTGGGCAAAAATGAAAGCAGTGAGTTTCTTTGTGATTGTTCCCACATTTCTGCCAGAAGCACTTGGACGCAAGGGAGGAGATTGGATCAGTTTTCTTCTCTCCAAGTATTTTGATGCAAAATTCCACATTATGCACCACTCATCCCAGGCTGAGACAAAGCAGGTATCAGCCATGTCTCTGCTCCAGGGCTTTTTTCCCCTCTCCTCTGTGGACTTTCGATGCTGAGAGTACACCAAACTGTTGTGGCTGGCTGGAATCAAAACTTTCTTTGGCAAACTTCAAGCGCTAAAGTTACTGAAACCTTGGCCTTGCATCTTGGCTCTGGAGCCAGGGTATTGCATTGCCCTACATTGCCTTTGGCACATTATTTAAAACAGATACTCCATCAGATGCGTGGGTTCACACCTTCTTTGGACTCAGCTGTGATGAAGCATCTCTCAGTGATTCCCCTGTCTACATGGAGCCTTCAAAAGCCATCAGCTCGAAGGGAGAATTTATTAGAAGAGCTGTTAATAATTAAATGCTGCACAATAACATTTCCAGCATAGGGTTCATCAAGAACATCCTGCTCACATGGCAGCGTTGAACAGTAATTAACGGCCACCAGTCACCAGGCAGCATACACTACTATACAGATTACAACAGCATCCAATTACTTCTTCATTGCCAAGCAAAAGCAGGTGCTCAGACAAACTCGACAACAGACATTGTCCTCTGTGCAAACCAGAGGTGCTGGAAGAGGAAGCCCCGCCACCCTCTCTGTCCCCCCAGCCCTGCCTCCCCCGTGCTGCTGCTGCTGGGCTCCACTTGCCTTCAGGAGTCCTCCGCTGGCAGTGCCCAGGAACACAACGGTGTAGTTATTGACACTGGCGACTGCCACCGCGGTCAGGCCGCTGTAGGTGAACACGGGGGTCGCTGTGACGGGGTTCACGATGGCCAGCGGGTGCTGAAGGTGCGCTGCTCCACAGTCCAGCTGCTCCGGCTGCAGCTGCAGAGAGACACGCACGTCAATGGGCTGCAAGCACACACCAGCGGGTTCCCCCCCCACCATCACCACCTCAGGCTCAGTGTGGACAAACTGCTGACGGCCCTGCTGCACCCAGGGGAAGCTCCTCACTACCGAGTCATGGAATAGGAAAATGTAACTGGTTAATACGGGAGCAAAGAGCTGTAATAGAGCTGCTTTTCTGCTTGCCAGATCTACCCTCAGAACCAAATCCAGACCAGGCTTTGCTGGAGATGAGCTGCCAGGGGCACTCTGCCCTTGCCCATGCTATGAGCAGGATCAGGGCAGCACCGGGATTGCTGCTGGAGCCATCCAGGTGCAGGGCACCCCAGGAGGGCATCCTCCAGCCAAAGGCCCATTTACTGTAGCAGCACCCTCATCTCAGCACAAAAGTCCGGTGCAATGGTAAAAGCGGACATGGGGGCTCCTTGCCCTCCTCTCCCACCGAAGCATTCGGAGGTCTCTTCTCTGGCACGGTGCTGGAAGCCCCTCGCCGGAGGGTGCTGCTGTGAGGTTTCTCAGCCCGCCAGGGATAAGCCATCCCCAGCAGCCGCCTGCCCTCGCAGAGGCAGCTGCTCTGCCCGCAGAGGGCTGGTCCCGTGCGTGGCCTCAGCGCTGCGGTGGGTCCCCCTTCCCGCTGGTCAGTGCTCGGGATCAGCACTTGGGAGTGCACGGAGCCGCGCTCAGCAGGGGCGGCTGCAAGCCCAGCAGCCACCTCCGCAGAGCTCCTTCTCTCTCAAACAAAAGTTGAAGCAAAACGTTTCTCCAATAAAAGAACTCAAAATATTATTTCCCTGCAAGTAAATGAGGAAGTGAGTGAGAACAGGGCCAAGGGAGCGGGGGGAAAAAAGCTTGCTGAAGACTCTCAGGACTATAAATCCTGGCTCTGATCTTGCTGCTACTGCAGTCAACAGCAAAATTTCCACTAGTCTTCCACTGGGACGGGACGGGATGGAGGAGCTGCTGAGTGGGAGGAGGCACCACACTGTGGGACACGGAGGGAAGAGCAGCGGCTGCAAAAGTCTGCCCAGAAACGCTGGAGCCACTGACCCCATCCAGCCTCAACCCGCAGCCGCTCACTGTGCCCCGGGGAACAAGTACAGCTGTGCCCTGTGCCCAAGACCACAGGATGTTCATTATTTGCCTCTGGCTTCTGCATTCAAGCTGTTCCTCAAAGCTCTGGGGGAGCAGGAACTGCCTTTGTTACAGAAAAGTTAAATTCAGGACAGCAAGACTGCAGGCGCTGCAGCTCGAGCAGGCACCTGGCTCCGCGGCGGTGAGCAGCACTGCTGGGGCTGGCCCCGGTGGACCAGCTGCCCTGCACGAGGGCTGGCCACTGGGGCACGAGGCTGGAATCAAGGCTCCCACGTCAATTCTCTACCAGGTGCCAAGGGGCAAAGGCAGAGGACAATTGTTAAGGACTCCTCACGTGTGAGCCTTGTCTGTGAGCAGGCATTTGGTTCATTTGGCCCAAAGCAAGACAATAGCTTTACTATCCTGTGCTAAATTAATTAGCACAGTTGCTGCATGACAGCAGCATTCGAAAATGGGACTGATGCTTCATATTCCTCCTACCCTGCCAAGATGCACCCAAGATTTATGACCACTCTCACCCTGAATCCTCTGAGACTCTCCTTATAATTTCTGCTCAGACAACGTGGATGGATTCAACAACGTCTGAATATCACAACAGCCTCACTGCCAACAATTCACCTGCTGTCACTCCTACAGCAGCTTTTATGAAGTGCTGTGGGTGCAGCCGAAGCCGTTCAAATGATGGGCATGTTTCAAGGGCCATTGCCACATCATCTACAGTGTCATTTCAGGCTCATCTTAAGAGAAGCTGCAGTTGCGCTGTCACCCTTCCTGGGTGCCGGCATGCAGCTGCAGGGCTGACGTGCTGACAACTGCGGGTATTTGCAGGCTGCCTGAAAGCACACCAAATTAAGGCCCTGATTGTGGGAAATGCTTATACAAAACTCTAGACAAGAGACCGCTGGCGGACTGCAACCCACACCCCTAAAACTAAGCACATTTTACACCTTACTGAACTCCACCATAATGTGGATACCCCTTCCAAAATAATCGTCAGGAGTGCTAATTTAAGCAGAACAAATGCAGGGATTTGAGGCTGTATCTGTTAAGAAACTGGACCACATGCTTCCACCAGGCAGGAGAAGTTGACAACCAGCCTGTTTAGCATATTCCTTCCTCCTTGGGCTGAGTGCACCAGGGCCTGTATTTTAATTCCCTTATAATCGTTATTATTTCATTAATGGAACCAGACTAAATCTTCAGCTCTCCCCTCTCTTCAGCCCTTTTAAGAGATTAGGCAAATCTTCACGCTTCGCAGCGAGTGTGTGAGAACCAGGCAGGACCACCCCTCCACTCCAGCCTCGTGCCTGGACCCCGGTTTGGGGTGCACCTCCCGCCTTGTGCCTGTCTCCTCTCCCGGCCGTGACCACACGTCTTGGGTTGGTGCCACATTACAGCAACACATCCCTGGAAAAAAATGGGGAAGAAACTTGCTAAAACTCAAAACATATGCGAAGCAACTGGGCTGTGTCTCCAGGAGCGAGGGATGGTGTCCCCCTGCCAGACCACGGCAGGGCTGGTGACCTCTCTGCAGGGGCCGGGGCCGGGGTCTGTCCGTGGGGGGGCAGTTGGCAGGCCGTGGCACTACCCCCTCCTCCTCTTCGCATGGGAGAAGACAGCAGCAAACCCCACCGGGCTGGGTGTCAACTGTAGGTGCCAGCCAGCTCTCCGTCTTTTGTAGCAGCTGGTTGGCAAACAGCACTGGCTTCCCCAGTACCTGGTGCCATCACAAACCCACAGTATCCTCTGTGCAATGGCACACAGAGCAGACAATTCCCCTGTTCTGCAAAACGGCTCATCCCCCGCTGCCTGGAGGGAGCACGCTGCCGCAGGCGTGTCCAGGGCTCATTTCCCTGCTGCTGGACCAGTGCAAGCGTGCTGCTGCAAACGGCAGACTGGGTCCTCTCCACAAAACCATCCTGACCTCGGTCCCCTGCGCGCCAGCAGACACCAGACCCTGGGTTCGCTGCTGCTGCCAGTCGCGTCAGATGTGAAGCAACAAAGACTGATTTGAAAAACTTCCCCTGCTAAAGAGAGTGCCAACCAGGAGGCAACATGTTCGGAGCTGCAGCTCGGGTGACATGAGACTGAGACAAAAGGATCAAGTGTTGTGGATGCAAGTGACTTTGTTAAATGCATTTTGTAGTTTTATGGCATTTCGTTCTATTAAAAAAATTGCAGCCCAAATTCTTACGTGTGTATGTTTCCCCCTGTAACTGGGCAACACAACTTTTTTATACCATACAGAGGATACAGCAAGCCATTCGTGTTTCTGATTTAATGGTCCCTTCCATTCACAGCCAGACCTTTAGAAATGCACTTGGGTTTATTTGTCTTGGGGATGATTATCTCTAGCCCTTCTTCATTACTCTTTACCAATATTAACCACCTGAAGCTTACAAGGCTCCTTCCAGCTGGGAAACTGAGGCACAGAGGCACCTCAGGCTGCCTGGGAGCCCAAGGGATGCTCAGCACCTCGTCTCCGCAGCAGCTGCCCAGAGAGCTGGTACTGGCGTGTGTCTGCCGGCAGCTTCACCACCTCCCAGCCCGAGGGACGCAGCCCTTTCTTCTCACAGGTGGCCAAAATCACGGGAAGCTCCTTATCTGCTGTGCCTGCCTGTGTATAAATCACGCATTTCAGACCTAATATCAGTGCAAAGTGTTTTCCATGGTAAACAGGATGTAACTATTCTAACACAGACCAAGCTTTATTTTGGCCACATACATCCTTCCTCTGAAACACCTTTCTTTAAATGACATCAGCTCTGGAGGAAACATATGGTGTTTCCCTCTCCCGGGTCTCAGGGTGGGGTGACACACTGTGCTGCTGTCTGTAAACCACAGCACCAAGGGGACATCTTAACTCTGCCACGTTACGGTAAACAGGATACGGCCAAGTCACATCCTTCTGCAGGCACCAGGCAATCACCGCAGCTTGGGAAACTGCACTTCAAGGTTGTGCTAAAAGGCTTTCTCCATGCGGAATGGGTTAAGTCTTGCTCCATCTTAAATCAAACTGCCCTACCCTGAAGTGGGGAAAGCATAAACGTTAAGTTTTCTTCCAAAACCAATCTCTTTCTATCATCTGCATTTTAAAACAACCCTGTGGGCATTTACTGTATTGCCACTATTTTTCTGCTAGACATCCTGGATACTCAGTAACTCATGGAAATACAGGGTGGGTCTAGATTCGGATCCTTCTGCACCCAAAACATTTGACTCTGCCACTTTGACACTAACAAAGAGCCGCCTTGGGCGCAAGCTGGAGACAACCCACAACCGGCACCGGCCGAGCAGCATTGCTGCCCACGCACTTGCAAGGAGGGCATACTTGGTATTTTTGCAAAATTTCACAAGTGATGCAAATTAATTCAAACCAAGGAGCCACATCCAAAAGGAGGGCTAGTCAGATTAACCCCCGAGTGTTATCGCAAAACCAAAGCGGGACAGAGATAAAAGATTTCCAGCCACATCAGAGCTCAAGAGTTCAGCTATTTTCATGGTGTGAGTTCAGTTTTTTATCACAGGCCTAAAAGGAGCAGAAAAAGCAATTTCCCAGTATTTCCATCACAGCCCCCCAGCCCTGGGCGCTGCGCCCCAGAGGCAGGCGCGCAGGATGTCCCTTCGGGAAGGAAGTCTGCTGGAAACAGAAGGAGGAAGAGGAGTGGTGAGGCAGCACTCAGGAAAACCATGAAACATACTGATTTCTGCATCCTGTGTTTGTGACCTTAAAAATAGTTCTTAAGCAAAGATGGAGTTTATTTCTGAATCAAAAGCAGGCTGCAGTTCAGAAAAAAGCCCTGCAGCTTTTGCTTTCAGCAAGGCTTTTCTGACTCTACTACAGTGGGTCTGAAAGCTTCGCAGAGCAACAGTAAGTGGAAAGGGAGTCCGGCCCCTTTCATGCATCGTATCAGAGCGGATTAAAGTGTTGGCTTCTAGCATGCCTGGAGTCCTGGGAAAATGACACAGCCAGCATCCGATAATCCGCTCCAAACTTGTTGATTTGTGGGACTTAGCCGTCATCTTCATAGGCTCAAAATTTGGCAGTTGCTCCCACACAACTGACATTTTCAGGCCATTAAAGTCTGTGATAAAAGGGCTCTAGTCTTATCTCTTGCCTTCCTTAACATAAACCATTAGGCTTTTATTAACATTTAGGTATGACTCAGGGAAATCTCTGATTGCAGAGAGAACATTCAAAATAATTCGGACACTGTCTGAAGACAATAGCAGGACATGGACTCAAAGTTGAACAGTACAGAGAGGCTAAAAAACAACGTGGAAATATTGCACAGACACCATAGGAAAACGGGCAGAGCAAGAGATGGTGGCAAGCCGGCCTGACTGCATTACGAAAACAGAAAGTACAAGCCCTCCTCTGTGTCGGGCAGAGCTCAGACTGGCCACGAAACCCCTCCCAGGCAGAGCCCATCCTCCCCGTGCTGCCAGCAGTTTGTACACACAATCACGCGTTTATCTGCTGGAGTGTTGCGCAACCGGAGCTGTCAAAAACAGGCTTTTTGGGATGCCTGGAGGAAAATGTCATCCTCAGAAGAGGACTCTACTGTTAAGGCACTTGAGACGTAAGCAGTCTCTAATTGTAGTGCTGCCGCAAGGGCAGGCATTATCACAGAGCTCCTCTAAATTCCCATCATATTTTTTAGGCAATGGGAGGCAAATCAACGTGCACTCTTGGCCAGTCGAGGCACTCGGGCTGAGAACCTCTGATAAAATGAATCTTGCTGAGTTTTTCTCGAGAATCATCCACACTAAGCAATCAGCACACCCCCAGCACAGCAGACATCCTTATAAAAGGCTTAAAATAAGATTTGCACCCTGGTTTCACAGGTTACTTAGACCACAAGTTTCTTGAGCGAGGAAGCAGTGGTTTTGCCGTGTTTTGCATGTTTGCACAGTGCCAGCCCTGGCCCACGGTGCTCTGCGAGCCACCAGCGTGACACCAGTAACGGACTGTCCAAACACCCATCTGTCTGCTCTCAGTGGCAGCGCGGACCATGTCCCACCTGCCCGCGGCTCCACCACGCCAGTGGCTTTTCCAGCCCAACGGCATCCGGACACGGCAGGGGTCAGAGTCCCAGGGGGTAAATCAGCACCACCTGACTGATGCCAGGAGGCCCGTCAGCATCCGCAGGACCTGCTCAGATGCTCTCCTGAGCGTGCGTGAGAGCTGCTCGGCAGCAGCCCTCTCCTGCAGACTTCCGTGTTGGTTCATGCCCTGGGAAACCACAATGATCCACATGCAGCCCCGTGTGCCTCGCCCCTACACGGGATGACTATCGCCTCCATCCCTGGATCGGGAAAGTTAGTATCTTGCTGAAGAGGAGTAATTGCTAATGAAAAACTAGCAGCAGATTCCCTCTGTCAAACCCCCCTGAATCACTGATCCCTGGCCAAACGTGCATCCACCGCACCACAGCCAGCAGCACCAGCAGCAGAGCCGCATCGGCCGCGTGGAGAGAAAAATGACCATGTCAGTGCACCCACTCCTCCCTCCACCACTGACAAATGTCATCCCCATGCCGAAAAGTGTTCCTTCAGCTTCTGCAGAGCTCCTGATGCCTGGCAGTTTTTCAGCCTCTTATCTTCATTTTTATTTTACAGGAAAGCCTGCCCCCCAATCTTAGAAAACTCATTCTTCCCTCTCCCTGCTCTCGACTCCAGCCCTTTTCTTTCCTGCCAGCTCCTGACATTCACTCTTGGCAGCTTCACATGGGACATTCACCTGATTAAAGCAAGTGAGGAATTCAGGCTTGTGTCCCTCACATGAAGTGAGCAGAGCAAACCAGGAGTGAAGCCCGGCAAGCACAGGACCAATGTGGGTTGGGAACGGCTGTTGGGAAAGGCAGGGCACAGCAAGCACTCTGCAGACAAGTGGTCCTCCTGGGACTTTTCATCGCCTTAGACCTGTTTCACGCTGCACAAGAATTACTCAGGAATCTGCACAATCAGAGGCACAAGATGCCCAGCAGCCCTGGGTGCCCGTGCCACTTGTCCTGCCCTTCACCAATTTCTGAGTTTTCGGCAACGGTCGAGGTGCTTGCCCATTACAAGGTGATGGGCTCGCATGCCTGAAGCCGGGCTCAGGGCCAGAGCTGACCTGACAGACTGAGCCCACCAGCCCCCTGAAAGCAAAGGAGAAACTGTTTTCAGTGAGTCTGCAAAGACACAGATTTCCAGCCAGTCCAAGGCCAAGCCTGGGTCAGGCCAAACTGCTGCATCTAAGCGGCAGCAGCCACATTCACCTCTGCTGCAGCCGCAGACCTCAAACCACCAGAGGTGAGGTGGTTTGAAACGCCGGAAGATGCTCTCAGCACCACGTCTCATCTCAGAGGGCAAAACCCAAGCTCTGGCTGCTGTTCAGCAGCGGCAGCCCCACGCAGACCTCACGTATGCCTGCTCGGCTGCTGCCTGCAAGAACCCCTCTCGGAAGGAAGACGCAGTTGAAAGACTGGAACAGGACTAGGGAACAGCTGGGCTGTAGGCGAAGCCAGTCGGTCTGTGATGGTGAGGCCAAAGCCCGACAACGGCTTGAACAAACACAGGCTTCCCGCAGCCATCCGTCTTCCGCTGTGTCACTTCAGGTGCAGGAGGAAAGGGCAGGAGGTTTCTATAACTGGAGCCTTCCTTGGGGTGTTAGGGAGGATGTAAGAGCTCCGAGTCGTTCCAGCCTCAGCTCCAGCAGCGGCACTGAAGCTGGATGCCTGCAGCCAGACAGTGTGATTACCCCTTCAGCCTCCTCTGCCACCTCCTCCTGCAGAAACTGGCCGGACTCGTGGCCATCCATCGCTCCACAAGCCCCAACCCCGTCGTGCTGACCCTGAGGCTGAACTAATGGCCTCAAGTTGCCCCAGGGGAGGTTTAGATTGGATGTGAAGAAAAATTTCTTTACTGAAAGAGTGGTTAAACATTGGAACAGGCTGCCCAGGGAAGTGGTTGAGTCACCAGTCCTGGAAGTATTTAAAAGACGTGTAGATGAGGCGCTTAGGGACATGGTTTAGTGGACATGGTGGTGTTGGGTTGACGGTTGGACTCGATGATCTTAGAGGTCTCTTCCAACCTTAATGATTCTATGATTCTATGATTCTACTGGTAAAGAAAGCCGAGGGCGATGCTGACAGGAGACTGGCAGGACCTGCTCTGCACAGACCTCCCCCAAAACACCTTCCCTCTGGCCCAGGCAGCCCTGGCACAGGTCCCTCTTCCTCGCTCCGCACAAGCCAATGGTCTGGCAAGCCCCAGCCAGCACTTCACCCTGCAGAGCCGCTGAAGCAGCACGTGCGACTGCACGGGAAACTGCTCAAAGTGGAGAAATACAAAAAAGTAGCAGTCTTTTAACTGAAATTGCACATCCTTCATGCTGCCAGGAAGACTGGTCAAGCTTATTATGTTAGCCTTCATCCTGCATTAAATACAATACTTCAGATTATACAATCTAATCCCCCAGGAATGGGCAGGCAGAGGGATTAACAAACAACAGGCTCCAAAGGGGTTGTCATAGTCAAAATAGCATGCATTTAAGCAGCGAGAGTTTGTATGTCCTTTAAATTCACGCCCGTTGGAAACGCGGCTCCTCTGCCCCGCTCCCCAGGGACAAGGAGCAGAGCGGATCAGCCAAGTGTGCCTTGTCCCAAGGACGCTCGGCGCTGCTCTGAAAGCCAAATTAACGCATCCCCCTCAAAACTGTTTGGAGTGAGACGCCTGATTTATTCAGCCTGTATTTTCTTAGCTGCTCTTTCCTTGGGAGAGCCCCCCCTTCCACCACTCAAGCTGTGTTTCTCATTTATATTGAGCTTTGGCTTCAGTAACCAATCTCAAGCTATTCAAACTCCTTCCCACAGGGAGGAGTCCTGGGTGAACTGTGAGTTTGGCTCCTCGATCTTCAGGGGTTATTTTTTTATTATTGCTACTACTAACACTTGGCACTGTACATGCTCAAAGTGCTCTGAAGGCATATCTGTGCAATTCTGGGCTGAAAAAAGCATCCATTAAAGTAACAACTTCTTACCTAACACAAAGGGTCTTTTGCATGTGTCAGTTCAAAACTGCTTCATTTAGCAATAGTTTATAGTAAATGTTTTCCTGTATTTTCCTTATTAGTTCTGCCAAATCAATTAAGCTCTGAGATAATGAGCAGAGCTCTACTCTTCTTTTACGCATCCTCAGTAAAACCTGCCTCTGAACGGCAGCGCTGCCCCACACCACCGTGGCGTCCTCCGTGGCTACCACCGCGCGCATCGCCTGCTCAGCAACCTCGGCACCAGCATCCAGAAACAAAACAACGCCACTTGCTTCCGGCACCCAGCCCGCTGTGGTAGTTTGGCATGGAAAGGTTAAAAAAAGCCTTTTTGGTCATTAACCGTGTACTCCAAATGTGGAAGCGACCAAGGCATAAAGACATGGTCTAAGGGAGACGCGCTGCTTCCCCAGCTCACAGGCATACCCTTCCTCCACCCTAACACACAAGATAGAGACCTCTGCCCTCATTTTTGGGACTGAGAAAATCCAAGTAAACAGGTTAAATGGATGGTTACGGAAAGTGTGAAGAATGAAGGTGTGAGCACAGGCTCCTCCGACCTGCGGCCAGCCCTTGGACTCACACACATAGTCTCCTCTTGCAGGCAGCACCTGTACGAAGCAAAAGACATTCTCCAGGCATCTCTCTGAAAGCACTGTGCTTGTTGACTTGCCAGTATCGCACCTCTACAGCTTCTTCTTTGGCAGTCCTCCCTCCCCACCCCGCCCTCCCAATTAGGAAATTAGGATCAGCAGAATAATTTCAAAATTTGTTAAAGATCAGTGGTCCTACTGGATTCAGCAACTGAGCACGTCTCTTATTTGGTCAAAGTATAGAAGGCTTTCCTTTTCTCTACCATTTTATATTTTTCTCTGCCTGTCTTCAAGATTTGTAGAAACTGATGTTTCCAAAGCTGTTTGGAAAGATCAACTGTGCTTTGCAGCTTGCTGTGGTACCAAATCTCAGCAAAAAATGACACTACGGTTAGGTGATCCCAGGGACATAACATTGCAACCCCAGCTCCTCCCCAAAGCTTGAAACCTTTCTTCAGCAGCTTATTTGACAGTGGCCAAGTAGCCTTTCTGTGTTCAGGGAGCCCCAGTGCGTCAAGGTGGCCAGCACGGCAGCCGAGCACTCCCCTGCCAGGGGGAATCCCGGGAGGGATGCACGGGGACTTCCACCCATCCCAGCCTTCTGCCATGTGGCTCACCCCAGGGACACGCGCAATTCAAACCAAACAAAAAAGAGCGAGGAGGAAAACATCTGTATCAGTTGCTCTCCAGATGCAGATGTCTGTCCCCTCAAGCAGAGATTTAGCCACAATTTCCTTCCCATTTAATGACCTGCCACACTGATTGCTGAAAGCCCGACCTGAGCCCACTGCCTGCGTGAGCCGGTTCCCAGACTGGGGTGGTGGTCCACTGCTCTCCGAGGAACCCCACGCAACAGCACACCATTACTGGTGCCTCTGTACCACTTGCAGTTAACATCTTGATCTACAAGATATACTGAAGGATGACAGGGACTCACGAGTCAAACAACTTTGGAAACTGCTATTTTGTATTACATTAAAAAAAACCCTCATCTTTCACATCTCCCTTCTTCAATGAGTGCTATCATTATACTGTAAACTTTTCCCAACTCCTCCTAAAAAGATCGCTCCACACACAGCCATTTTCTAGAACATTCCAGGTTTTCAGTGGCCCCTTTTAATTAGGTGATCCACCAGAGATGGCTTTTGGCTGCTAGCAGCTCACAACCTGTTGAATGTTGGCAGCGGTCAGCAGACGGTGGGATGAAAATCTAATAGCCAAAGGGTTTTTGCTCCAGAAGGGAGCAGTACGAAGCAGCATAATACTTTAAGCAGAGATGAGACAGAGACAGGAAGACAAGTTCCAAATTTCCTTCAAATAATAGAGGTACGTGTTTGCAAAATCCAGACTTTCAGTCAATTTTGTTTCTGGGTTAGAATTGAAAGATTTGTATTCCAGTGCCACTTGCAATGCATAAGCTGCAGAAATCTTGTCAGAGCAATGACCCTTCAATGGTTCAGGCCCAAAAAATGGGCAGCCTTGTTCCAGCAGCTGATCCCCTCTGGCCAGACTGCTGCTACCCAACATCAGCTGCCTCCCACTGCCTGCGCCGCTGGTGCAACAGCCAGCACAGGTTTGGTGGCCGCAGATGCAAATGCAAGCCTGCAGCTTCACTGAGGCCTGAGACTTCAACTGGGGTTTGTGCCCTGGACTCGAGCAGCCCCACCATGAGCCCCAAGCTCTCTCGGTGTCCCGCAGCTCCTGCGGCCGCTGCTCACCCGCGTGGTGGCACCCTCAGGAGCATGGCAGCAAACCCGGGGACTGCGACTCTGGTCATGCCGCCTTCAGAGGAGGGCACAGCAGAATGAGACACCCAGTGTGGGAAAAAAGCCTGAATATCCAAGTTAACCCCTATCCCACTGCCCACCTGAGAACACCCCAAGCCAATGCGCCTCTTGTCCCACCCCTGGCCTGCAAGGCTGTGCTTATCTGTAGGTCCCTTCCTCCAAAAAACAATGCATCCTGAACTGGAGAGGAAGGCACTGGGGCTGGCAATAGCAGATCAGCTCTGCTCAGACCACAGGCCATCATTGCTGCATCCCTGCTGCTGCAGGACGCCACGGCCCCTGTGCTCCCGGTCCCTGGGGACATCCTGGTCCCAACCCCCAGCACAGATCTGTGTGAGGAACCAGTGTACACTCCCCACACTGGACAAGCCCTGCTGACACTCTGCGGGTAAGAGGCGAAATCATCACGGGCTTTGATATCAGCCCTGCTCATCAGCGCACCACACCTAACAGGGGCTCATCCAGGCTCTGTTTGATATGGGCCTTCTCCGGAGCGAGCCATCCCACGCCCCCGCCAGCCTCGCTCCGCTGGAGCGGCAGCTGCCAGCAGAACTGCCGTCCAGATGTTAGAAATTAGTACTGCTCCCTCTGCTCAAAAACGTCAATAAATTCTACTGGTCTCTCAAAGTGGGAGATTGCCGTAGACAGTCTGCCACCTCCTCCACTTGCTGCAAGGTGTTAGATCCCAACTTGAAAAGAAAACAAAAACTTGCAATAATTTAACCAACCCAACAAAAACCAAAACGAAAACAGAAAAAAAAAAGCAAAGCGAAGCAGATCTCTCCTGCAGATGCAGTGGTCAGCTCCCCGCCCCCTCCACGCTGTGCCCCTGGGTACGTGTGCTGGGGACAGTGACACAGCAGCACTCCAGCACTTGGGACCTCAGTTCAAATCCTGACACTGCCACCCATCTGATCAATGACAAGGCATCAATCAGGCTGTCTCTTACCACCTACTTTCCCCCACGAAAAGAGGGCAATAACGCTCCCCCAGCCCAGACTGGTGCACTGTACCAAGGGTTCACAATGACAAATGGATCTGCAAGTGCACGGGGCTGCGGCAACACCGCAGGTGCAGCCCTGTTGCTCCTTGCACAAGGGGCACAGCACAGGCAGCAATGCCTCCGGGTGTCACCACGTGCCCCTGAGCATGGAGCTGTTTCTTCCTCCTGGTCAAGAACGCTGACCCCCATCCATCACCTCCTCAGTGCAAACGAGCTGCCACACGCCTGTGCACACAGTCCCTGCAGCTGGGGAGACCCCGGCCGCAACGGGCGACCCCTTGCACGTGCCACGCATGAGCCTGAGCCGGGAGGCACAGCCGCGCTGCTGTAGGTAGCTTGTGGTGGCACTCAGGTGGTTATAATTGATTGTTTCCAACCGCTGCTGGT